CATCCATAGTGTCCCCAGAATAAGGTACTCAGCCTTATCCTTATACTATAGATCATTTTGACTATATACTTGAACTTGATCCACTCTTATGTCTCTACATATAGTTCAAGTAATCATACTATAGCCAGAGTGTTCTTAGTTTATTGGATTTAGATTAATGATCGTAAAGTTCACTTTATTCAATAACAATTTTTACTGAATAAACATCAATAATAACTTTATTGAAAATAGAATATATCTTTGTTTACAAACTATGAGTTTTAGGACATAAAACCCAACACCATCATCCAACATTAGGGACGTGAAATGCTCTTATTAAGATAAAAAACAGTTTTAGGAGGGTCGATAACGTAGTGAGCTGAATAAGCTAGATTTGCACCGAATGCGATATCAGCGGCGGCTCAAGATACAAAATTTTATTATTTTATTTTATTTTATCTAACTACAGTTACAAATACTTTTACTGTTAGTTTTGAAGAGAAACTTGTAGTAGTGTTTCAAAAATATGATACAGATAGTAAGTATAGTTTTAAATTTTTTAAAATTTTGATGGATATTATGAAACATCTTAAGATTTAAGGGTATTTTTGAAATACCATTAGACTTCGAGCGATATTGCCCGAACGAACCACCTTGTCGATAAGAAACTTTTTCCCTTTTATTTTTCCTACGCTTGATAAGGAGAAATCACTAAAAGAGAGGAAAGTTTTCAGTAATTTCGGGTGTAGAAAACAAGGTATTCGTGTAAGTCAAAACCCTACCCGAGAGTACAACAACCTGTACGCACTTAATAGCAACGCTCGGCTCGACAAAGTAGTCCAACCTAGCAATGAGCACATCCACATTGAAGCCCAAACCCTATACACGTGACTCCAACTTGAACGAAGTACACTTTAGTCATTTTTTACTATGCCTTCGAGGAGTCTCGACTCCTTTTCTTTTGGAGTCTTTTGTTCGACATTTGATGATTCTGTTGACATGGCTAAGTTTAGGGCATGGCTCTGATACCATATTAGATGAACACAACTCTTCGCAATGGTATGATATTGTCTACTTTGAACATAAGCTCTTATGACTTTGCTCTGGGCTTCCCCAAAAGGCCTCATACAAATGGAGATAGTATTATTTGATTATAAACCTGTGATCATTCCCTAAAGTAGCCGATGTGGGACTTTCATCCAACAGTCCCCTCCTTACTCCTTGCCCGCTCATTCGATATTTTGTTCATCATTTTAGCAACACCATTTTGTCTTACCCTAACGAGCATTGTCCTCATTAATCTGGTTCTCTTAGTCCCACATAAGGATTTGAATCCTGACATGTTCTTTCCTCAAACATTTAATATGGCAAACAAATATGACTGTATTTCAAGAAATAAACTCATACCTTCTTGGCTAAGTAATGAAACTGGAGATGGTTCCCAAACATCTGTATAGACCATTTTCAACTGTATTTTTTTTTGTTCTCTCGTAATCTTTGTGAAGCTAAGTCATTTCTGTTTGCCCATCTCACTAAGACCCATATCAAAAGATTTCAGCTCTTCTAAATCTCTTTTGACAACCAACATCTTCATTCCTTTAACGTTCATATGTCCAAGTCTATTATACCATAGACTTGAACGGAAAACACTCTTAGCAACAACAACCATGTGTATACACGAAAATTAGTTTGAGTTGAAAACGACAATCTTGCTTGCTTGAAGACTAGGCATATTTCATGTAATTGGTACGAGTGCATAGATTTTGGGTAGTCCTGCAGCCATCTTATTCTCTCCTATCATTTTGAGTGCATGAAAATTCACGTGCCCAAGTCTTGTATGTCATAGCCAAGATGGGTTTATGAATGCCGTCAATAGAGACGTGGACTGGCGCATCTCCAATTGTTTTGCAATCGCTTGACTTTCACCAATATAGATTTGTTTTTGTTGAACATCTTGAGGAACAAGCCGACTAACTCCACCTTTTATAATGTTATGATTCATTAAATTTATCTATCATAGACTTTTGAGAATTTGTAATCATTTCGTGATGTTATGTGAAAAAGTCTGTACCATAGAGACATGATTCTAACCTACTTTTGTTTGTCCTTCAAAATTATAACCCATTTCAAATAGATATTATTTCTTTACATCATTATTATCCTTCTTATTTTCGAAAAATTATCATTTACCTCTATATATTTAAACTCAAACTAAGTGAATTTTCGAACGGTAATTCGGACGAGCATTAACTACCGATGTTCATATAACTCAAGAAGTCAATTAATCTAAACTACATAACCCAAACGGTAAAAGTTAGGTTGGGTTGCCATTCTTTTTGCCCGGACCCGATGAACTTGAAAATAGGGTTATAACTAAACCCTACCCTACCCTACCCAATGAAGCTGATGTATTTTGACTCGTGAATGTTTGATATTTGATATTTGAGTATTATGAAATTATAATTATTAATGTAGATAAATTATAATTTTTTAAAATAATTAAAAAACATGAAAACTTAATCGAGCCCAAGAGAATATAGGGTAGGGTTAGGTTAGGTTAGGTTAGGTTGGGTTGAGTTGTGAACTTTATTCAGGTGGTTCGAGTCACTAACCAAACCAACTCGAAATTTCTGATTAGTCCAAAAGATTCCTTAGACCAAACTCAACCAATGTACGCTACTATTAGCGGTTCGTTCCTCAACTCCAACTACTAAGAAAAATTGAAACAAAATACTCAAAAGCGTGTCACGAAATGCCTAAACCTAGTCAATAAACTCTCGAAACTAACCACGTTAATTATATATAATTTTAATTAGCAACCAGAAATGCCAACATAATCGAAGAATGAATATCAACGGAAAATAATCTCCTCAAGAATTAAAACAAAAACTAAATTTTTTTAATTTAAAAATCTGGTAATGTCGAAAATCAAACTATTAACTTTTTAGATGATAATCGATTCTTTATCGAGCTACGATCTATTCCCGGGTAAAGTTAAAATGGTCGAATGAGAGGGAGTTTTTGGTACTAAAAAAGTGGGAAATGTTGATCAAAGCAAAAGTAAAAAGACAGCAACAACATAGTCAGACAATATTTGAAACCTCATAAACAAAATTCTCATTCATTATTTCTGTCAATAATCATATCATCTCTTCCCCCACACCCACTTTATCAAAATACATTAAATGAATCGTGATATTAACCTTGACCCATTTCTACGCATAGTACAAAAGCTAGCTATCCATGTAGTTCTAGTTACATCGTTCTTACTATCAATAAGCTTGTTAGGCTTTCTAAGTCATCCTAGTCGTGGAGATCTACTAGATTCTTCGAGCATCTAGATGGTTTAAATCTCGTCTTTTGTTTTTAAGATGTTTCGGACTAACCCCTCGAGATTAATCCAAAGACATCTTATGATACTCAATTAAACTAGAAACTCAATCCTAAAAGACATCTCGGCACCTAGCTAAACAAGCTTCATAAAGTCGACCGATGTAACCATATCTTATTAGGAGATGTACTACTCTGATACCATTTGTAACGACCTATATTAAGATTTAGATTAGGATTCGAAATTCAAATTTGACATGATTGAGCCACCGAAAAAAACACACATTATTGGTTTAGGTTAGGACTTTCAATTCTTTTAAACATTTATTAGTTATCTTATCCTTAGGATTACTCTCATTTAAATGTAATCTCGATTCATTCATATAACACTCATTTACTCCAGTGTCACGTAAAGTTTCTCCGTAAACACCGTCAAAATTGGTGGGAGAAAAGTTATTTACCCACTTCGCTATTTTAATAACCAAGAACAAAAAGAAAAAAAAAAGATCATACTAGGAAAACCCTTGGCTGTTGACAGTAAAAAGCCAACAGGTCAGTTTTCCTCATAGTAAAAGTCGCACTCAGCCCGAGGGAGACCCTTCATTGCTTTCGACTTTAGAATACCTTCACTCTTACATCCAAATGTGTCCTTGGTGTCCTTAACACCTTCATCTCAATGCACCTGCCTCACGGTTCGACTTCACTATGCCAACTGATCATCTTTGTAATTTGTGTGAGATCTCACGTCGATTGGACAGAAGAACGAAACATCTTTACAAGGGTGTGAAAACCTTTCTCAAGTAAACACGTTTTAAAAACCTTAAGGGGAAGCCTAGAAGAAAACCCTGGAGAGAAAAACATCTACTAGATGTAAGTTTGGATTTTTACAAATGGTATCAGAGCCAGACACTAAGTGATGTGCCAGCAAGGAGGCTAAGCCTCAAACGGAGGTGGACACGAGGTTGTGTGCCAGTAAGGACACTAGCCTCAAAGGGGTGGATTAGTGTCTCACATCGATGGAAGAAGAAAATGAATGTAAGCTAGGACATTGGTTAGGCTGTTACCATTCGTCTCTTTTGAGAATCTCACCATTAAATCGTCTCAACTCAACCTTTGACAATAGCACCAAAACTCAACTAATAGTTAGCTCGATTTCTTCTCCAATTAAATACTCGTTTTCAACATGAGCGAGTACGGTTTATTCGTTTCACTTAGATTCTATGTAGACCTCCGTAGATGCATAGTCATCATGCATCGTTCACCACTCAAACTAACTCAAGCAACCGAAAGCGAAAAAGAACAAATAAATTACAACATTTTCAAAAGTTGTTCATATGTTTTTAATATACATAAGCAATGGAAGTAAGTGTATAGCATATTTCCATTGCCAAAGCCCACAGAAAATAAGGAAATCCCAACACTTTTTTCTCTCATCATCATATTTTAAAACCTTTCTTCATCAATAATTAAATAAAGGCAGCGATGTTGATCATTCAAAACCTGAGCCAAGCACTCACAAAAAGAGCAATCAAAACACTCTGTACATCAAAACAGAGTCACTACTCTGAAACTGCCTTCAAAATTGCTCCCATTGGTCAAATATGAGCCCCACGCCTCCCACTTTTGGATCCTAAAAGCCCAAAATTACAAACCCACAAAAATTCCCTAATATATATACTCCAAATCCCATCCATTTTCCACTATCAACCCGATTACCACCAACATACAAACAAACAGAGCCATTCTTCATTTTACTTTCTTTTCATTTTGTGTTCTTGCCTTGGGATTCTCCTCGATTCATTTCTCTTGGTAAATTCTTGTAGAATTCTGTTTCTGGGTATGCCGTTTTTGTCAATCTGCTACTCATTTCTGTGTATTTCGTATTAGGGTTTTGCTTATTTTTAACTTTTGGCTTCTGGATTCATACTTTTTAGTCGACCCATCTTCAGTTTCGAGGTTTTTGCATGTGGGTGTTCATAATTTCTGTTTATTCGCCTCTGATTTGGGTTTTTTTTGGCGTTTTTCTTTGTATTTGCTGTGAAAAACTGGAGAAATTGAAGCTTATCTGATAGGAATTTGGTGCAGGTGTTTGAATGGCTTCCCCTGTTGAGAATTTGAGTGTTGTAGAGGAAGAGAAAAAGGAATGTATTGGTGTTCTTGAGGTGTTTGTTCACCGAGCAAGAGATATTCATAATATATGCATTTACCACAAACAAGATGTGTATGCAAAGCTTTCCTTTACAACACATCCTGAAAACTCTGTATCCACTAAAACCATCAATGGTGGTGGGAAGAATCCTGTGTTTAACGAGCGTGTTCGTCTCGATGTTCCGATGATCGATACGACGCTCAAATGTGAGATATGGATGTTGAGTAGGGTCAAGAATTATCTTGAAGATCAGTTGCTTGGTTTTGCTTTGACCCCTTTAACAGAAGTTGTTGTTGTGAATGGAAAGTTAGAGAAAGAATTCAGTCTTTCATCGACCGATTTGTTCCATTCTCCCGCCGGGTTCGTGCAGCTATCGCTTTCGTATAATGGTGCTGCTCCAGAAGTCATGGCGATACCGGTCGTTGAAACAATTGTAGAGGTCGAAGATTCGGATTTAACCGAGCCACGTCCAAGTGATTTGGATATGATCGAATTCCCCGATCCAAAGATTGCGAATGAAGATCAGATAATGGTGTCTGAGTATTTTGGTATCCCGTGTTCGAATCTAGATTCTGAATCTTCTGAGAGCTTGACTATTTCTGAAGTTGAAAATCATGGTATTCCCGTTGTCGAAAGCTTTCCAACGATGAACGACAAGTCGAACGAAGAAGATTCGAAGGTCGATTCTCCACCGAACAATGTGCAAAATGATACGGTTTCTTCACCTTCGTCGTCGAAAGCTCAAGCCAGTTCAAATGGCACAGCTGATAAAGAACAAACAGCTGAAAATGGTGAGGTTTATGGTTCCTCTAGTGACACAATTACGAAGCCTTTAGTTTCTGTAAGCGTTGAGCCGCCGGAGGACAAGGTAGTGCAGCAAGACATTGTGGATATGTACATGAAAAGTATGCAACAATTCACTGAGTCATTAGCAAAGATGAAGCTTCCTTTGGATATCGACACCAACAGCTCTCCGAGTTCAGCTACCTCGAGCTCCGACCCAAACCTAAAATCTCCCAAGAACAGCGGCTCCCGTGTGTTTTACGGGAGCAGGGCGTTCTTCTAATTGAGCGAGTTCATCGACTTTAGATCTTAGAATGAGGCAGCTAGGCAGCTAAAACGAGTTTGTTTTGTGTTTTGTTTGGTTTTGAGGATGTTTTTTTTTTTTTTTTGATGAAACAAGGTTTGTCTCTTGGTTTTGTTGTTGGTAATTGGTGTTAGTTTTGATATGAACATTGTTTGATAAGGTTTTTAATGGGTAATGAAATGAAATTTAATCAATAATTAGAGTTATAATAAGGTGAAGTAATGATGGAGTTAATCATATAATTGAAACGAGGGTCCCACAAGCACATGGCCATAGGGTGAAAAAGGTGATGGGGCCCAAACCCAAAGCATAAAAGCTTAACAATCAAATATGGACACATTGTGTGGGCATGTGATTAATGTATTACTTTTGCTTTCAAATAATTCTTATGTTTTACCCTCTCAAGTATAGCTATCGACCTCACAAACACGACACTCAATGGTCAGGTTCAGTAGGTTACGAACCATGACTCTCCACAATAGTATGATATCGTCCACTTTAAGCATAAGCTCTCATGACTTTTCTTTGGACTTCTTCAAAAAGTCTCGTACGAATGAAGATAGCATTCCTTAATTATAAACGCATGATCATTCCCTAAATTAGTTAATGTGACTCACTCCCCTCTAAAAGTAAAGACTGAGAGAATAAATGTACTCTTTGACGGCGGTCCGTAGAACTTATAAAAAAGAGATGGTTGTGGCTACTTTTGTGTACCTCATCACTCATGTAACAGCTCAAGTCCACTCCTAGTAGATATCGTCATTTTAGGCTTTTCTTCTGGGGTATCCTCGAAATTTTAAAACGCGTCTGTTAGAGATAGGTTTTCACACCCAATGTTTCATTTCCCTCTTCCAACCAATGTGGGATCTCACAACTCAGCTCATGCGCAACCCTGTCCCATTATGTTGTGGGTGGACGAAATTGTGATGGCCCACGTTGGTTGGGGAGGAGAATAAAACACCCTTTATAAGGATGTGGAAATCTTCCCCTAGTAGTCGTGTTTTAAAGTTTTGAGGGGATGCCCGAAAGGAAAAGCCCAAAGAGAACAATATCTAGAATAAAAGGTTATGCAATGATTTGGATAAAATGTTATAAAATCAAAACTATGGTAATATATTTTACAAGTAGCTCTTAAAAAATTGTTGGTATTTTAATATTTAAATTATTATTAATATTATTTTGTATTTTTATACAAAAAGCACTAAAAAGTAGAAATTTCGTCCCACATATATATAATAAATATTAAAAGAATAGTGAGTGGTGTGGAAGAATCTAATGATACAAATGTCGTGCCTGACAAAACCGACATAACCAACCCAAACTACGTTGGTCCTGGTCGGTCTGGTTGGTCTAATTTGGATGCCTCTTGCCTTTTCATTAATGCTTACCATTCATATATGTCTCTACCATTTTCCTAAACTAATCAAAAATATTGTTCAACCGCTAATTGATATTGTCTTCTTTTGACTTTTCTTTTCGAGCTTGCTCTAAAAGTTTTCAAAATGCATCCGTACTCTTATAAAAAATAAAAAATGTTTTATTTTCGTCTCCAACTAATATAAAATATCACAATGGGTAAGTTTCGGTAAGAAAGACTCACCTGATGTCCACTTGCTTCAATAGTGAATTCAAGAAATGGAAGCATCTAAGATAATATACTTGAAAAATAGAACAAAATGAAGAAAAAGGGGGCAAAAACATCACTGTTTAGGTCGTAGGGTCGAGACACTACGATATATAGATACAAAAAAAAAAAAAAAATGCTAGTGTGTCAGCATGCAAAGAGACGATGTCAAGATGTATGGTGCATGTGTAAAAAATCGAATAAATAAATGAACTAATATCACTGAAAATATACCTACTAATGCACCTTCTTTTTTCCGTAACTCAATAATACGAACATTATTTTGATGCTTATAAATCTCTTGATAACAAATTATTTGTTTAGTTGATCTACATCTTAGCTCGGGAAAGAAAAAATTAGACTAGAACATCAACTACACAAGCAAAGGAGGGTCTGAGTTCCCCCCATATTGACAAAATACTTCAAGAGGCTCGAGAGTAGGTGGTCACGAAGGAAATGTGCTAAGGAGATGATCGAAGTCACAAAGTCAAAACACTAATGGGCACCAACCTTCATGCTACTAACACAAGCCCGCACACTTATGACACAAACAAAGTCGAGACCGATAGCAATATGAAGTTGGTGGCTTACAATTTTTCCAAACATTTTTTTTCAGGTCATTGCATTTATTTGTTGGGCAACATAACTTTTTAACCCTTAAATTTTAAGGATAGTTTTCATTTAACAGTTTCAAGCTGTTATACTTTTACCTATCTAATTTTGACTTGAATCTTCATTGATTTATAGAGTTGTTACATTTAACCGTTTCATTTTTATTTGGTAACTTGTTCAAGATTTTACACTTTTTCCCTTAAGTTTGGGCTAATTTTAGCTCAAATTTAACCCTAACAACAAAAGGTAAGTATTAAAGAAAACATAAGGGTAAAAGTGTAAAATCATTAAACTAAGGAAAAAATAAAAATTAAATTAAAAACTCAAGAGCAGTAATGTAATATTTTGAAATCTAAATTCAAACGTCAAGTAAAAATGTAATATTTTGAAACCTACTAACCAAACAAATTCGAAACTTACACACCAAAATAAGTGTAACAGCCCAAGCCCACTTCTAGTAGATATTGTTCTCTCTGAACTTTCTCTTTCGAGGTATCCCTCGAGGTTTTTAAAACACGTGCTAGGAGAGGTTTCCACACCGATGTGAGATCTCACAATCCACCTGCTTCTAGGCCTAGAGTTCTCGCTAGTACCCGTTTCTTTCTCCAATCAATATAGGACTCCCACTAAATCCACCCCCTTTCGGATCCCATCGTCCTTGCTGGCAACATCGCCACATGTCCACCCCCTTTAGGGCTCAGCCTCCTCGCTGGCAAATCGCCCAGTGTTTGGCTCTGATATCATTTGTAACAACGCAAGCCCACCGCTAGTAAATATTATCCTCTCTGAACTTTTCCATTCAGACTTTTCCTCAAGATTTTTAAAATGTGTCTCCTAGGGAGGTTTCCACATCCTCATAAAGGGTGTTTAGTTACCTCATCAACCGATGTGAAATCTCACAATAAGTAACCTTCCCCATCTCGGTTTAGTCTTCGAAAATATTAAATAGAAATATATTTCAATCCTTCCATAAACTTTCTATCTTGAGCTAGACCTAAATGTCAAGTCAAAACACTTGTGGGCGCCAACCGATGTTATATTTTAAATTGAATTTCACGTGATCCATAGAGTTGTTACACTTTAACGGTCTCATTTTTATTTGGTAATTTGTTCAAGTTTTTACACTTTTACCCTTATTGTGGCTAATTAATTAGCTGAAGCTTAACGCTAAGGACAAAAAGTAAGTATTGATGAAAAGACAAGGATAAAAGTATAAAATCACTCCACCAAGAAAAAAAAAAAAATTAACCTAAAAACTCAAATAGCAAAATGTAATATTTCGAAATTTAAGAACCAAATGAAACTAGATTTATAATTTAATAATACAAGTAGAATTTATAGGGCTCGTTGGAACGTCTTAGCATGTAAGCATTCCTTACCTTACATAAGGATAATTTTGAATAAGAATACATTGTCGGTATGATATGAAAATTACTAAAATGCCCCTATAATAAGATTTGAGATGAATATTGTTTTAAATGTTTTCTATTTTGTTAGAAAGAAGGATGTGCTATTGTGATCTATGTTTGGGATGATGGATGGATGTTATCTTTCGGTTGAGCTTGTTTGCATGAAGGCTTTAGTTTATGCTTTTAATGATTTAGGTGTTTCATAGGATATATCCATATTAAACTTGCACGATCTCATTGTCACGACCCAATTTTTTAGGCTTCGAAAACTCGGACCGTACCAAAAAGACGAAAGCTATAATAAAAAAAATTAAAAGGAGAGAAAAGTAGAGTGAAAGATAAAAATCCAATAAAATTAAAATAAAGAAAGCGAAGTTGTTTCAAATTTTAATACAAATTTTAAAAGGGAATACAAAAGACTCCAAAACGACTAAAAATGGACTAACGTTCTGAAACGACCCTTTCTGTCACCGCATAGCTCTCAAACGCTCCTCCACCTTGACCGGCAGCCTACGAACACCTGAAAAAGATAAAAACAAGGAAGAATATAAAAGTTATAGTTAGTAAGCCACCTGCTTGTCATTGGCTCTAGGACGTCTGGTTCTGGTCTTATCCACTTGGGGCTATTATGGTTTTTTGTCCTTTCATTTAAACCCTACGGGTTCCTTATGCCAAGCTGTAAATGACCCGTGTCTCTCTACGAGGTGCTACCTCTGCATGGCTATCTGAGACAACTTTATCAAAGCTAAGTTGATTAGCTCAATTGGTTAGACTGTCGACCTAACAACGCACAGGTCTTAGGTTTTCGTCAAGCGAGTGATCAGGGAGGATGGTGCACGGTTTGCCAGTAATTGAAAGCGTGAACAGGCTGTGCGACGGGTGATCCTGTTCTTCATATGGCTGATCCTGCTCCAAGCGAAAAAGTGAGGCGGCGACAGAGACGATTAAAGTGCATTCAAGCACGAGTGGAGGCCGAATGTGCGAAGATGCGAATGCTCTGCACTAGACCAAGGCGGAGAATTCACATCGGCCGGCGAGTTTCGGTAAGTACTACGACAAGCTCGGCTTGCAGCAGCATCTAACGGTGCTCTACTCCCCCAGCAGAACGGGGTGATGGAGTGTCAAAATAAGACCATCGTCGAGACAGCAAGGGCAAGGTCATTGCTGATGACAGTCGGGATGCCTGGGAGGTTCTGAGGAGAGGCGATAATGACGGTCGTCTACCTCCTCAATCGGTCACCAACGTAGAGCCTCGACGGGAAGATGCCACATGATGTCTGGTACAACAAGAAGCTAGTGGTACATCATAAAAGCCAGTGGTACATCATTTTCGAATGTTTGACTGTATCGCATACATGAAGGTAGCGTGTCCCCACGTCGCCAAGCTCGATCCTAGGGGGCTGAAGGTCATCTTCATCGGCTACGAACCCAGGAGTAAGGC